CTTAAAGGGCCTAATAATTTTATCCCTAAAATTAGTTTAAAAAAATTAAAAACTACTTTTATTCTAGGCGAAATAAAACAAATAAGACTTTCTCCAGAAGAAAAAAAAATATCAGATATATTGTGAAAATTTTCTTGCTCTGTTAAACATCATTTAGGAAATATTTAAAAAATAAAAAAAATTCAAAGGAGGGCTAATAATTCTGACTTCAACTGTATATCATACACATATATGTTGAGGTCAGAATTATTATCCCCCTTTAATTTTTTTTTTTTTTTTTTTGTGCAGTGTGATCGTAGCTTCACTCTGTTTCAATGGATCTTGGTCACACTCCCCTCATGACACTTTGCTATATTGTATTTATTTTGTATATTATGTGCATACAGTATAGAATATATAATAAACCACACCAAAACCATGACCTAAAACCGAAAACCAAACCGAACCGTGAGAAGTCTGTTTTGTTGCACCCCTAACGGCCACATTACAATTATGTTTATGTCAGATTTATGACAAGTTATGTTGTCTTGGTAATGTCAAGTTGTCATAAAAAACATCTCAAATACTGTCAGATTTGCATATAAAATGAATGACATTGAATGACACTCAATGATATTTGTCATAAGCATACGCATTTATTAATGATGTCATGATTACAAAGGTTTAATGACAGTCTTAATAAAACCCCCTTAAAGCAAAGGGTTACCAGTTCCCCTTCGGATGGGGAACTCCAATGCTATTAGTGGATTTTAACTAGAATCCACGAATGTGAGATTTCGTTTCAGAAAGCCAATTGTCTGAAAGAGTATACAACGGGCCAATGAAATGCCAATGAATTGGCAGCGTAAGCTTGCGCACGTGTGCTTCATTGACAATTATCTCCGCATATAAGCACAGGTGGAGCAAGCACACGCTATCCTTTTCGCTTCAGAGACTTCACAGCCTTCTGATTGAGTCGATAAAGGTTCCTCTTGCTGACATCAGCGAATTCGAGCGAACGAGTGTTCTCCCAATCCAGAGTGGGTACACGCGGCGGCAGACGGTCGAGCTGGGATTCTCCCTTGCCTGGCGTTCTTTGGGTCTGGTCCTCCAGAGCGGTGCGTATAAGTTGCTTATCTTTCCTAAAAGAGCAACACAGTCGTGCAGCACGTCCTTTTCAGGATGGCGCTCCGACTGTGCGTTTCTGGATGTGGGGGTTTCCTGTCTCCGAATGATGGGCACGATCACTGTGTTACATGTTTGAGGGTCCATGTTAATGTGGTGCTCGTGGGCGGTCCATGTCGTCATTGCGATGCCATGATCGTTGCGCAGCTAAGATCGCGGCTAGCCCTTGTAAAGGGGCGAACTATTATCTCAGCGGGAAATAATCCGCCGCCCACGGGTTGGCGGACCTCCCGCTCCTCCAGGCGCTCCATCCAAGCTTCGGGCGGTGGGAGTAATCCGTCTAACTAGATAGTAGCTCTCACGCTTGCTGACACTGGAGATCAGACGTCCACCGCGGCATCGGAGGGTGGGCTTTCATTGTCGAAGACCGACTAGATGGGTGCTACGTAAAGGACCAGAGGGTGAAGCCTTCAAAGCCTCTCATACCCTTTCTCTGCCTGTGCTGCGTGTCCCTCCGCCCTCACCACCCTTGACGGTGGAGCTGCCAGGGGGTATGAAGCGATCTTGCCGGTGGAGCGCACCATCGTGGTCAATCTTTGTCCGCGTGATGCCTCTTCTTGGCGGGGTCCGCCTCGTCTCCCGTCCAAAGCCTGTAGGTTATCTGTCTCCCTCAGAGCTAAAGCTTACAAGGCTGCGGGCCAGGCTGCTTCCGCCTTCCACGCGATGGCCACCTACCAGCGCTACCTAGCACTGGCCGAGCTGCACGAGGGTGGGTCCAACCCAGGCTTGTTACACGAGCTTCGCACTGCGACCGACTATGCTCTTCGGACCACTAAGTCTGCCGCGTGTGCGTTGGGGAGTCCACACTAGTGGTCCAGGAACGCCACCTCTGGCTAAACCTGGCTGATATGTGCGAAGTCGACAAAGTTCGCTTTCTTGACTCCCAAGCTGGCCTGTTCGGCAACACCTTCGGTGAGTTCACCCAGGAATTCAAGGCGGTGAGAGAGCAGTCGGATGCGATGGGCAATGTCATCTATCGCCGGGATCGTAAGCCCGCTCCGCCCGCCTAGCCATCCACCTCAGCTGCTCCTTGCCTCTCGGGAGAGCATGCTCAGCTGTTGCTGAACTGTCTGAGAGAGCTCGACAGTAAAATAGTGGTACCACTGAAATATTTTCAGAGGCTCCTGGGGCATATGGCATCCGCAGCCGCCGTCACGCCGCTCGGATTACTCCATATGAGACCACTCCAGCACTGGCTTCACGATCAAGTCCCCGGACGTGCATGGCACGCGGGCACACACCGAGTCTCCGTTACTGCGATGTGTCGCTGCGCCCTCAGCCCTTGGAACGACCCCTCATTCCTACAGGCCGGTGTGCCTCTAGAACAGGCGTCCAGTCATATTGTTGTCTCAACAGATGCTTCCAACACGGGCTGGGGGCTGTGTGTTGCGGGCATGCAGCTGCGGGCCTGTGGAAGGATACCCAGTTGCGTTGGCATATCAATCGCCTAGAGCTGTTGGCAGTATTCCACGCTCTCCACCGTTTTTTTTCCGGTGCTGGAGCAGCAACACGTGCTGGTCAGGACGGACAGTACGGCGGCGGTGGCGAATATCAACCGCATGGGGGGTATTCGCTCCCGCCGCATGTCTCAGCTCGCCCGGTGTCTGCTCCTCTGGAGTCACCCGTGGCTGAAATCGATGTCAGCCATTCATATTCCAGGCAAGCTCAACCGTGCAGCCGATGTGCTCTCAAGGCAGCATGTACGTCTCGGAGAATGGAGACTTCACCCCGGGTCTGTTCAGCTGATATGGGCGCGATTCAGGGAGGCCCAGATTGATCTGTTTGCTTCCCCCGAGAACGCTCATTGCCAGTTGTTTTTTTTCCCTGTCCGAGGGCTCTCTTGGCACGGATGCACTGGCCCACAGCATAACCTCATCATCCGGTTCCTCAGAGGTGCTAGGCGATCCACCCCGCCCCCCTCTCATGCCCTCTTGGGATCTCGCCCTCGTTCTCACGAGCTTGCGTACAGATCCCTTTGAGCCACTTGAATCAGTATCTTTAAGATTTCTGTCCCTGAAGACAGCTCTGCTGGTCGCGTTGGTATCCATCAAGAGGGTCGGGGACCTGGAGGCATTTTCGGTCAGTGACTCGTGCCTGGAATTCGGGCCGGATTACTCTCACGTTATTCTGAGACCCCGCCCGGGTTATGTGCCCAAGGTTCCTACCACACCTTTCAGAGACCAGGTAGTGAGCCTGCAAGCGCTGCCCCCGGAGGAAGCAGACCCAGCCCTTTCTTTACTTTGTCCAGTTCGCGCCTTGCGTATTTATCTGGACTGCACTCAGAGCTTTAGATCATCTGAGCAGCTCTTCGTCTGTTATGGCGGTCGGCAGCAGGGAAGTGCCGTATCGAAACAAAGATTATCTCACTGGATAGTGGATGCCATCTCTCTTGCTTATCAGAGCCGAGGTGAGCCGTGACCCCCGAGAGTGCGTGCACACTCCACTCGGAGCATCGCATCCTCTTGGGCGCGTGCACACGGCGCCTCTCTAACAGACATCTGTAGAGCTGCGGGTTGGGCGACACCCAACACATTTGCAAGGTTTTAAAATCTGCGAGTGGAGCCGGTTTCCTCAAGGGTATTAGGTAACCCTTGGTGATTGAGGAAACAACTCGGTGAAGGTGTTGAAACACGCTTGCTGCGCCACTCTCCTTAACACGGAGATAAGTGCGCCTTTTTTTCTGTCAGTAAAGTTCCCCATCAGGTGAGCCCTGCAGATTCCTCCGAGGCCTCCAGCACTGACTCAGCGGAGGAGTCACTTGCTGGCCCACTACGTTGTAGGTCTGCCAGCTGGTCAGCCCGTGTTTTAGGTATAGGTGCTGGCTATGCGTGATCCCCACTAGGCGATTCCATATGCTTACTCTGCCACGGTTCAGTCCCCCTTCTCGGGCAGACCCGTGTCTTCCCTCTCCGCTAACCACCTTTTATTATGCGTACTCCCCCTTTTTGGGCTTGTCCATATGTTCTTGCCATCATATCTCCCCACTGGGTAGCTGATGGCCTCCGCAGCGTCCTCCCTATCGGGACTGCACGCTTCCCAACGTACTGTTGTATTATTCGTAGAATTATCTAGACGCTTGCGACTTCCCAAAAAATATATCTAAATCTGTAAAACTTCTGTTGAAGTGGGATAAGTAAGGGCCAGGGACCACGTTGGAGGACCACGCCTCTCATGATGTAGGAGCGTTCACACTTGCTTGGCTATCCTCTCATCGGAGGCGTAGGTAAGGTGCAGTCATTATGGCGTTTTCCATACCTTCTCCCATTCGTGGATTCTAGTTAAAATCCACTAATAGCATTGAAGTTCCCCATCCAAAGGGGAACGCTCTGGTTGCTAAAGTAACCCTCCTTGGGGAACGGAAATGGTATTAAGCATCGCTATAATGACTGTTCGTTAGCTGTTAGTTCAGTCTCTTCAGCTTAAAAGTATAGCGTGTGCTTGCTCCACCTGTGTTTATATACGGAGATAATTGGCAATGAAGCACATGTGCGAAAGCTTACGCTGCCAATTCATTGGCATTTCATTGGCCCGTTGTATACTCTTTCAAACAATTGGCTTTCTGAAACGAAATCTCACATTCGTGGATTCTAGTTAAAATCCACTAATAGCATTTCCGTTCCCCTCCTCGGGGAACGAGGATTACTTTAGTAACCAGAGCGTTTTCAATGAAAGTGTTATAGGTAAAGAACAAAAATCCACACACGCACCTCAAAATAATGTATATTATACTTTGTTGTATCAAATCTGCTTTTATTTATTATTATTATTAATATTATAAGTAGTTAATTATTATTATTATTATTGATTAATCATTGTTTTTTTTCTGTCACCACCAGGCAGCAGGTGTTATGTCTGTCTACTTGTTTATGAAGCGCTACACAGCAGAGGAGATGTACAGACCCCACCCAGGTTTCTACCGTCCACGTCTCAGCAACTGTTCTGACTATTCTGGTCAGTTCCTGCATCCAGATGCCTGGACTCGTGGACGCAGCCCTTCTGACATCTCCAGTGAAGCATCCCTCCAAATGAATTCAAACTTCCCTGCCCTTCTCAAGTGTCCTGACTATGATCAGATGTCCTCATCACCCTGTTGAGATTATAAATACACATTAGTGATATCTGAGAAAGAGAGAGCTCTATAGGTAGTTCTGGAAGATGCTGTGCTGGACTGGTTTCAGCACCAGAGATCATAATGTGTTTGGACAGAGGATTAACTTTATTTGTCTTTGAGAGCCTTCAATACTAATGCAGTCTTTCTGAATTAAATACATCATTTGGTGGTATCATGTTATTTGTAGTGCACCACACTGATGTGTAGCAAATAGTACCTTTGCCTTTTCTTAAAACTCTGAATTTTGTAGAATATTTTCATTGGAACAGTCCATTGTTTTCTTTGTAATTTTTTTTTTTATCAAAGCTGCTTTAATTGGAAAAAAAGATGTATGTTTTATAGAAACTAGAAATGGTGATACACAATAAGTGTTTAATTGAATACATAAATACTGATTCATTATGGCCATTAAAGTACAGGCCTGAGAAGAAAATACAATAATCTGGTTTCTGCCCTTATGCACTTTAATGAAATAACTGTAAAACTGAGATTAATTGATGTTTTATATTATCGTTATGTGTTGTTGTGTCACGGGTGAGATTTATAGTTTTTTTAAGTTATTTGATGGCATTCTGCCTTCTACATTCAGCACATTGATGATTTAAAAAACAGTTAAAAAAACAAGGAAAACTTGTATGTATTGTTGATTGTTTAATTCTGGTGTATATAATATAAAATAATAAACATATAGGTCAAATTTATGTTTGCATTTCTCACTTTTTTTAATTTCTCCACTGTATCTTGTTATATGATGTTTTATGTTTGTGTTGATGTATTTGAAACTATTTTAGATTAATTATAATCTATTTATTATAAAAGAGGCTACTTTTTCCTTAAAAGTTTAAATTTGTACTCTTTCAGGACCTTTCAAAATAAAATATTATCCTTCTTTTAATACTTGAAAGTAAGAAAATATTTTGATACTGATGTACATGATGTTAAACCAACTAACTTAAATGAAAATAAATATTTAAAGTTTTGGCAGTAAAAATTAGTTATTTCATTGAGTGCCACCAAAGCATATGACATTTTTTTGATTTTTTTTTCCTCTCAAAGATATATTCAGAACATAAAATATAATTAATAGCCTCAATGTAACTGAAGAGTATTCAGTTCAATTCATTTTTATTTAAATAGTGCTTTTACAGTGTAGATTGTGTCAAAGCAGCTTAACATAAAAGTTCTAGTAAATTGAAACTATCAGTTCAGTTTTCAGAGTTAAAGTTCAGTGTAGTTCAGTTCATTGAAGTTTTTCACTGCTGAAAGAACCAAACACTGAAGAGCAAATCCATTGATGCACAGCTTCACAAATCCCAAACCAAGCAAGCCAGTGGCGAGGAACAAAACCTTACCAGTTGATGAAAGTGAAGGAAAAAACCTTGAGAGAAAACAGGCTCAGTTGGGCACGACCATTTCTCCTCTGGCCAAACTTCTTGTGCAGAGCTGCAGTCTAGGGGGTGGATGCAGGAGAACACTGAACGTCCATCGTAAAAAACTGCAGGTGTGAGTAGGTCACTAGGCGTTCAGGTGTTGTGCGTGCAATACATACACCAAAATCCATTTTTGCGTGCATATGATACACCAATTCTCCCCATTCACTTCTGTGCATGCATATTTATTCATGTCAGCTTAGTCCCTTTATTAATCCGGGGTCATCAGGTTTATCCAGCAAGTTTTTACACAGCAGATGCCCTTCCAGCCACAACCCATCTCTGGGAAACATCCACACACTCTCAATACTACGGACAATTTAGCCAACCCATTTTACCAGTACCACATGTCTTTGGACTATGGGGGAAACCGGAGCACCAGGAGGAAACCCACACGAAGGCAGGGAGAACATGCAAACTCCACACAGAAACGCCAACTGAGCCGAGGCTTGAACCAGCGACCCAGCGACCTTCTTGCTGTGAGGCAAACATGCTACTCACTGCGCCACTGCCTCGCCTGTGCGAGCATATGATACGCCAATTCTCCCCATTCATTTCTGTTGAAAACAGATGCGTACATACCACGCACCAAGAGGTTGGGCCCACGGGATCAGTGCAGAGACTTGTCTGTCACTGGGCCTTTCTGGAAACGGTCTCATAATCTCAACTAATAACTATAAAAAATATGGGCGACGTAACCGCACCTTTTCCTATTGAACACTTTGAAGGCAAAATGCCTCATGATGGGCACAAACTGTTGCAAAAGACTGAAATTGGAACCTGGGCATGCATCGAAGCAGGGCCAGAGCAAGCTGAACTGCCACTCTAGGCAAAGGACGGTCACACTGCCCTCAACCCTAAAGTGAAAAGGGGGGAGGGGCTCTTTATTGGTGGGTGGTGAGGGTAGAGTCGGGGATGCCACTATCTCTCTATTCTGCCGCCCTAGATGCGGATATAACTGAGGGCGCGGGCGGTGAATGTTGTTTAGGGGACACCGCCCTCTCTATTCTGCCGTCCTAGGCGGCCGCCTAGGTCGCCTCTATGGACGCGCCGGCCCTGCATAGAAGGGACTACCTGATGAAGCCAGAGGCAAAGCCGCAGAATCAAGCTGCCAACCAAACGCTTGTACGTCAAATCAACCATGCCCACCGAACTTCTCATTTGATTGCCGTAATCTGCACTAAAATCAAGGCTCGCTAAACAAATATAAGCACTTACATTTAAAAACACGTAATAATTTACGTTTAATCAAAAAATTGTGTGATGTAAGCTGTTATAATTTAATAAAAACAATAAATGTTGGACTTTTTCATACACTCTAGCCTAAGTTGGACTAAGCCATGAGCACAAAAATATTTCTCTTATAACGGGTTGTTAGTATTTATTATCCTCACAAGGGTAGAAATAACACTTTTAAAATATGAACAACATATAAACAACACATACATTTTTAGAAAGATTTTTATTTTTAATTAACAATCAACAGGATCCAAAATATACCCACCACAGATAACGATTTACCATGTGGGAAAATTGTGCATTTAAATAAATAAATAAAAAAATATAGCTATATTTCTAAATATCAACAGGATATTTACACATCCCTGCACTAAATAAAACAATCTTTATCAATTTGTACAATAAACTTAGCAGTATTAATATATCAAGTTACAATCACTTTACAAGTTACAAAACTTCAAATAATGTTGGAGGAGATTAATGTGGAGATCGGCTAACATTAGTTTTGTCTTTCTAATTATTATTTTAGACCTATATCATATTAAAATAACACAGAAATCGAATAATAGCATTTCAATCTCCTCCCGAATCTCTGACGGTCTGCTTTGAGAAACTGTAAATCATAACTGTCAATCTCGATGACACTCCTGTTTTTATAGCAATAAATGACTGGCCTAAAACCTACAGTTTACAAAAATGAAGATCTGCACCTATATCAGCATGATAACATAAATGCCTTAATTGACCACAACCATCTTTCGGGATATTTTATAGCAAGCGTAAATAATTTTTTAATTTGGGCTTAAGTCTCGTTCATTAACACGGAGGAGGCAGGCTTTATGACTTGTACTGCAGCCAGCCTCCCAGGGCGTGATCTCACGGCTGGGACCTTCACTCAAAAGCAGGTGTGTCACTTGCTCTCAACTCCTCCATGACCACCAAAGCTTCTGCTTAGGATACGGCCTGGTCCAAGATTATGGAAACCTCTTAGAAGTCCTCTATGGTTGCCCTCATCTCTTCACAAGTCACACAATCTCTAGAGACCTCAGGATAATTATCCCCTGGTGAAAATATGGAACAAAGAAAATAATTAGCGTAGCTGCAGTTCATAATGTATTTAAACAATAATTAAATATCAATGCAAATTATATGAATAAACATGAAAAGCACATGATTATTTCTAACAAAATGTCTGGTACATTACAGTTTTTGTCCATTAGTTTGGCTTATTTTGTGAAACAGAAATTACATCCTCAAAACAACATGGACAAACCTCCAAACCACTTGGCAATTGTTCACTACAGAATTCAATTTCTCATTCATTTCATCAAATTGCAAATGTCTAATTATATTTTTGCAAATGATTAAGTTCAGATTAAGCCTACATTTAGCACAATTTCCAAGTGAATAGATCTTGTTAATCTAAACTGATTTTTAATTGTCAGTCTAATGGTTGTAATCTCCAAAATGTGTTAGCGTCATTTCATTGTATATGTGGTTACATGCACAATAGTCGGTCCCACTTTATATTAAGTGGCCTTAACTAATATGTATTTACATAGGAATTAATTTGTTTGTTACACTGTACTTATTGTGTAAATACATGTATTTACTGTGTACTTATGCTTGTCACCGACTCGGTCCCAGTCATTCCCCTCGCTGACCAGCAGAGGTCACCATCTCCAGACTTCTAACCATTACGTCATCCATTTCACTCAGATCCCAGCACACCTGTTCTCCATCTCACTAATGACCCACGTACCACATATAAGCAGCTCACACACACACTTCATTGCGAAGTCTTGTTTAGCCCCGGCCAGCATTTCTGAGCGTTCTATCCTGCCTGATTTCCCGTTGACCACTTCAGCCCGTTTCTCGACTCTGCTCTGTCTTCTGCCTGCCCTTGACCAAAGCCTGCTTACACGGACTCTGATTCTCGCTGCCTGCCCCTGACTAAAGCCTGTAACACGGATTCTGAATCACGCTGCCTGCCCTCGACTCAAGCCTGGTAATCACTCTGCCTCTGTTATCTGCTAATCATCGTTGAGTTGTATGTTGTATGTTCGCACAGCCGTGCGAGGTGTTGATGTTTAAGTGTGACTTAAATAATACTGCAAAATGGATCCCTCCGTGTCAGTCTCCCCGTTACAGAAGACTTCGCCAAACACGGATCCCGCAGCCATCCAGGTTTTGTCTCACGAAGTCACAACACAAGCTCAGGTATTGTCAACATACCAACAACAACTAACACATCTAACTCAGTTAACAGACGAACTGGTGAAATCCCTACAAAACCTGCAAGCTGCTGCCACTGCGCAACCCACCGCCAACTACTCTCCAATTCCACTTGTTGTTGCACAACCCCCGATGACTTCCGGAGTTCGATTGGCTTTTCCTGATAAGTTCTCAGGTAACCCAGCAAAATGTAAAGGCTTCCTACTGCAATGTAAACTGTTTATCGCCCAACAGCCTCATCTGTTTAAGGACGAGAATGGGAAAATTGCTTTTGTGTGCTCCCTGCTCACTGGGAAGGCGCTAGACTGGGCTACTGCAGTTTGGCCAGACAGTACCCCGATATTTCCCTCGTTTAATGACTTTCTCAAACGTTTCTGCACTGTGTTCGATCATCCAGAGGGTGGTCGTAACGCTGGCGAGGAGCTATTGTGTATCCAACAGGGAGATCGCTCCGCGGCTGAGTTCGCCCTGCAGTTCCGCACTCTGGCAGCGCAAACTGGCTGGGCTGATGATCCGCTTGCCACACTCTACAGAAAAGCTCTAAGATCAGAATTGCAGCGAGAGATGGCATGTCGTGACGAGGGAAAAACACTGGATCAACTAATCGAGCTTTCCATAAGGTTAGACACTGTCCTCCGCACTCGCAATCCGCTCTGCTCAATTGCTTCCAGTCCTGTATCCCCTGAAACCTCCGCTGAACCCATGCAATTGGGTAGAACCCGCCTGAACCCAGAAGAGCGAGAACGACGGAGAAGAAATCACCTGTGCATTTACTGCGGACTTCCAGGTCATACGAA